AATAATAACAACAACAATAATAATAATAATAATAATAATAATAATAATAATAATAATACTCCCTCAACTATACGTGGCACATTAACAAACTAGGACAGCTGTGGTGGCTGATGGGAATTGTAGTCCAAAATATCTGGGCCCAGCTGTGGTGGCTGATGGGAGTTGTAGTCCAAAATATCTGGGCCCAGCTGTGGTGGCTGATGGGAGTTGTAGTCCAAAATATCTGGAGGGCCCCAGTTTGGCAAAACCCTCCCTGGAATTTAGCCTCCAGCCCTAATATTTATCCCCCAGCGTACAAGAGTTTTCCGTGGTGCCATCTGCCTTTCCCTGCCTCGAGGGCCGCCGCTTCTGCCAAACTCTTTGGGCAATTAGTTCGTTAAGTCCTCTGGGGCCAAGGGATTAATTAGCAGTCACTTTGAACTGATTAATAATAGATGGAGCTGGGTTTGTAACCGCTGCCAGCAGCCAGCTACTAAGCAATTCATTAAGACAGCAACCCTTGGTGCAGTGCATCCTGCAGCCCTCCTGGAGTGGAGCGGGGAGCGTGGCCAAGCAAGTCAAAATAAAAGGGGGAAAGAACGAGGTGCGTGTCGCATAGTGGTTACATTAGAGTGTTGCACAGGGACCCAGGAGACCAGGGTTCGAATCCCCACTCAACCATGAAGCTCTCTGGATGACCCTGGGCATGTCACTGCGTCTCAACCTGACGTACCTCACAGGCTTGTTGTGGGGGTTAAATGAGGAGGGGGTAGAGAGAGAAGCACGTCTGCCACTTTGAGCTCCTTGGAGAAACAAAGGTGGCTATCAATGCGGGAAATTAAAATAAATCAATAGACGTGCTCTCTTAGGAACATAAAGCTAAAGAGGCCCCTGACCATTAGGTCCAGTCACAGACGACTCTGTTGTTTTTTTTAAAAAGATATTTATTAAGATTTTCAAAGTATTACAAAATGAAAAAAGAAAAATACAAAATAAAAATAGTTAAAAACAATTCCATCTTTCCATTACTTATCTTTCATTTGCTTGTTTCCCGGACCTCCTTCAATTTGTTAGTTCAGCAAATCCTTTCCCTCTTTGTTTATCCTAGTCTTTAATCTTAAAATATTATAACATTAAATTTTTGCCTGTTAATAATCCATTTTTTTCATATTCCTTATAGCATTATAGCTAAAAACCACTTAACTTCTTATCCAACATCATTCTATTTTTTTTTTATAAAGATTTTTATTCAAGATTTTCAGCATACATAAAGAAAAAAAACAGAAAAGAATAAGCATAAACACACAATAGAAAAAAGACATACAAGAAAAATAAAAAATATAACATCATAATCAAAATCTTACTTTCATAATTATTCAGACTTCCTCACATCTTCTGTTCCAGCTTTCCACATTTGAAAAATTCTAGACAGCAATTTATCACCTTGTTTCAGATACTTATTTATATTTTCCAATTATTATGTTCCATTTTAGATTAACCTCCCAAAAAAACTAAAACCTTAGTTTAAACATTAATATTATTCAATAATCAATTTTAAGTCAAATTTCACATATCTCTCGCATTCTTTTTAACTAATTTGTTGATGCCACCCTTAATTTAACTCCTTTCATCCTCTTAACATTCATACAGTTTACAATTTTTTTGTAGGTAGTCCTTGAATTTTTTCCACTCCTCTTCCACTACTTCTTCTCCCAGGTTGCGGATTCTGCCTGTCATTTCTGCTAGTTCCATCAGTTGCATCTGCCATTCTTCCAGCGTGGGCAAATCTTGTGTTTTCCAATATTTAGCAATCAGTATCCTTGCTGCCGTTGTTGCGTACATAAAAAAGTATAGTCCTTCTTTAGCACCCTCTGGCCGACAATGCCCAAAAGCAAGGCCTCTGGTTTCTTGGGAAAGGTATACTTAAATACCTTTTTCAGTTCATTATATATCATTTCCAGAAAGCCTTAACCTTAGGCAAGTCCACCAGAGGTGAAAGAACGTTCCTTCGGTTTCTTTACATTTCCAACATTTGTTATCAGGCAAATGGTATATTTTTGCAAGCTTGACTGGGGTCATGTACCACCTATATATCATTTTCATAATATTTTCTTTTAGGGCATTGCATGCCGTGAACTTCACACCGGTGGTCCATAACTTTTTCCAGTCAGCAAACATAATGTTATACCCAATGTCCTGTGCCCATTTTATCATAGCTGATTTAACCGTTTCATCTTGTGTATTCCATTTTAGCAGCAAGTTATACATTTTAGATAAGACCTTTGTTTTAGGTTCAACAATTCTGTTTCTAGCTTCGATTTTTCCACCTGGAATCCTATCTTTTTATCTGAATTAAAGACCTCTTTAATCTGAGCATAATGTAGCCAATCTCGCACTTTATCTTTTAGTTTTTCCAGACTCTGCAACCTCCAAGAATCTCCATCTTTTTCTAATATTTCCCAATATTTCGGCCATTTGGCCTCCATATTGAGTTTTTTCAGGGCCTTTGCTTCCATTGGTGACAGCCACCTTGGAGTCTTATTCTCTAGTAGATCTTTATACTTTGTCCAAACATTAAACAGTGCTTTCCTAACAATATGGTTCTTGAAAGCCTTATGACTTTTAACCTTGTCGTACCACAGATATGCATGCCATCCAAAAACGTTGTTAAAACCTTCCAGATCTAAAACATCAGTGTTCTCAAGAAGTAGCCAATCTTTCAGCCAGCAGAACGCTTGCTGCTTCATAATACAACCTTAAGTCCGGCAGGGCAAACCCCCCTCTTTCTTTAGCATCAGTTAAAATCTAAACTTAATTCTGGGCTTTTTTGCCCTGCCAGACAAATTTCGAGATATCTCTCTGCCACCTCTTGAAGCACTCCATTTTATCCATAATTTGTAGGGTCTGAAACAAAAACAGCATTTTTTGGCAATACATTCATCTTTATAACAGCAATTCAGCCCAACAAGGAAAGTTTCAGTCTAGACCAACTTTCTAAGTCCCTCTTAATTTCTAACCAACATTTCTCATAGTTGTCTTTAAACAAAACTCAGATTCTTAGCTGTAATATTTACCCCTAGGTATTTCACTCTTTTAACCACATTTAAACCTGTTTCTTTCTGAAACCTTTCTGATTCTAACACCGTCAAATTTTTTTTCCAATACCTGGTTTTCTGCTTGTTTAGTTTAAACCCTGCCACCCGACCAAACTTCATAAATCAGTTGTACAACATCATTCTAACATTCATTAATTTTACAGTATTTCTGTAAGTAGACTTTAAACTTTTTCCAGTCTTCTTCCACCGACTCTTCTCCCTGGTCTCGGATTCTGCGGCATTTCCGCCAGTTCCAAATAGTCCATCACCTTCATCTGCCATTCTTCCTGGGTGGGTAGATCTTGTGTCTTCTAATACTTTGCAATGAGTATTCTTGCTGTCGTGGCATACATAAAGAAAGTTCTATCCTTCTTTGACACCAATTGGCCGACCATGCCCAGGAGAAAGGCCTCTGGTTTCTTCAGGAAGGTATATTTAAATACCTTTTTCATTTCATTATATATCATCTCCCAGAAAGCCTTAAAATCCTTGGGCACGTCCACCAAAGGTGAAAGAATGTACCTTCAGTTTCTTTACATTTCCAACATTTATTATCGGGCAAATGATAGATTTTAGTCACAGATGACTCTGGCGTTGCAGTGCTCATCTCGCTTTACTGGCTGAGGGAACCGGCGTACAGCTTCCGGGTCATGTGGCCAGCATGACTAAGCTGCTTCTGGCGAACCAGAGCAGCACACAGAAATGCCGTTTACCTTCCTGCCAGAGCGGTACCTATTTATCTACTTGCACTTTGATGTGCTTTCAAACTGCTAGGTTGGCAGGAGCTGGGACTGAGCAACGGGAGCTCACCCCGTCGCAGGGATTTGAACCGCCGACCTTCTGATTGGCAAGCCGTAGGCTCAGTAGTTTAACCCACAGCAGGCAAAGCAGTAGTCTAGCTCAGTACTGTTTACACTGACGGGCAGCGGCCAGGATGCCAGGTTGGCGGCTGGGGAAAGCAAAATGTCACTTAGAGAAGGATCTGAAATATTTTCCTTAAAGCCTGAATCAGTTAAATTCTGGATTGCTTTATGTGATGTTTTAATGTGCTGTAAACCACAGTGCCTAGGACTTGCCAATCAGAAGGTCGGCGGTTCGAATCCCCGTGACGGGGTGAGCTCCCGTTGCTCGGTCCCTGCTCCTGCCAACCTAACAGTTCAAAAGCACATCAAAGTGCAAGTAGATAAATAGGTACCGCTCCAGCGGGAAGGTAAATGGCGTTTCCGTGCACTGCTCTGGTTTGCCAGAAGCGGCTTAGTCATGCTGGCTACATGACCCAAAAGCTGTACGCCGGCTCCCTTGGCCAATAAAGCGAGATGAGCGCCGTAACCCCAGAGTCGGCCATGACTGGACCTAATGGTCAGGGGTCCCTTTACCTTATGACATTAAACTGCTTTGAGATTTTATTTTTTTAAAATATAAAACAGTATAGGTATTATTATTATTATTATATATTATTATTATTATTATTATTTTATTTTATTCCTGGAGGGGGTGGAACAGAACTAGACAGCCCATTGTGGTGACTGCAGTCCAGGTTTAAGGTGCTATTTGGCAATTAGATAATATATCTGGATTTCTAACACTGCCAGCAGCTCTCTCTAGGATTTTCAGATTACAGTCTCTCCCTGCCATACCTGAAGATACTAGGGATTAAAACTGGGACCCTCTGCACACCTGTTCTACAGCATTGCTAAAGCTAAGCTGATGTGGACCTGACCTTCCCTTAGATAGGGAGGCCTCTGAGAGCACCAAAATCCAATAAATAAATAGTTTTCAGCCTGACGTGGTTTCTATGAAGGATCTGAGCTGCTAGACCAGAATTTATCTATTAACTCCTTGGCTGCCACTGGGAGCAGAAGTGGCCATATCTCTAGGCAAGGCCCCTCACTCTTATTCTTCTGTCTTCCCTATCCTCCGCTACAGGCCACATGAAGCACTCTGCTCTTCCCGTCCTCCACTCCTGACACTGGCCGCAGGTGGCTATGGGGTTCCTTGGCTCCAAGAGCTCCTTGTTGGCGTTCCACCTAGGCCTCATCGCTGGCTTTGTCAGCACCTTCTACCTCATGGGCAACCTGACATGGGAAGGGCCCCCACGCCTTGGCACCCAGCTGCCGCGTGGCTACAAGGACCCGGAGTGGATTGTCGATAGATCAGCTCTCTTCAGCGTGGCACACCCGCACCTGGAAGGTAAGGGCTGGAGGGTGTTGTTGTTGTTTAGTCGTTTAGTCGTGTCCGACTCTTCGTGACCCCATGGACCAGAGCACGCCAGGCACTCCTGTCTTCCACTGCCTCCCGCAGTTTGGTCAAACTCATGCTGGTAGCTTCGAGAACACCGTCCAACCATCTCATCCTCTGTCGTCCCCTTCTCCTTGTGCCCTCCAATCTTTCCCAACATCAGGGTCTTCTCCAGGGAGTCTTCTCTTCTCATGAGGTGGCCAAAGTATTGGAGCCTCAGCTTTCAGGATCTGTCCTTCCAGTGAGCACTCAGGGCTGATTTCCTTCAGAATGGAGAGGTTTGATCTTCTTGCAGTCCATGGGACTCTCAAGAGTCTCCTCCAGCACCATAATTCAAAAGCATCAATTCTTTGGCGATCAGCCTTCTTTATGGTCCAGCTTCTCACTTCCATACATCACTACTGGGAAAACCATAGCTTTAACTATACGGAACCTTTGTTGGCAAGGTGATGTCTCTGCTGGAGGGGAGAGGGAGGCAAGCGTTATAAGAAAAATACTGCTCCCTTTCCGGTATTAAGAGCCCGTATAGAGTCCTTAAGTAGGTTCTCTATTGTTAGGAGAAAATAACAGAAGCCAACCAGAGAATATTGAGAAGCAAAGCAGCTATTAAGCATGATCTTTATTAAACTGTTGCAACAGGGTCCCGCACTCCTCCACGCAGGGAGGGAGGAGAGGAACCCAGAACATTGGTGTGCAAGCTCTTCTACAGACTTTTGAAATTGCCTCCCCTGTAGCTCAAGACCACCCCCCAAAACATCATACATCACAGAAAGAGGTGGTCCTGAGCAGAAATTTGAGTGTGTTGCTTCTCTCCTTTTGTGCCAGGATACCTGATACTGCATTATCTGATTGCCTTTTCTGGGTAGCCTGGCCATTCCTTTGAGATGGTAAATACTTGGTTCCTGAAAGGTAAAGGGACCTCTGACCGTTAAGTCCAGTCGTGGATGACTCTGGGGTTGTGGCGCTCATCTCACTTTACTGGGACAAACGCCGAGGGAGCCAGCGTTTGTCCGCAGACAGCTTCCGGGTCATGTGGCTAGCATGACTAAGCCGCTTCTGGCGAAACCAGAGCAGTGCACGGAAACGCCGTTTACCTTCTCGCCAGAGCGGTACCTATTTATCTACTTGCACTTTGACATGCTTTCAAACTGCTAGGTTGGCAGGAGCTGGGACCGAGCAATGGGAGCTCACCCCGTTGCGGGGATTCGAACCGCCAACCTTCTGATCGACAACCCGCGTCCCTTTAGTTCCTGAAACTCTTACGCATATTGATAGTGTGCTCAGCTTAACAGATACTTGCCAGACTGCATTTACAGTGAGGTGTAAGCCCCTACAGTCCAAAGAGGATTGGAAAGCTTTTCCCATTTCCTTCCTCCTTGCAGAGAAATATTTGAGGTAAATTTGAGAGAGTCAAACAAAATGGCTTCAGGATTGTTCTCCTGTACTATTTCAGGCACGTGGTTTATATACTTATATTTATATACTTATGTATGTGTTTGCCTTGTACATTTATGAACACACACACACACACACACACACACACTCACACACGTGTGTGTATATGGCCTTAGAATTCCTATAACAAAAGGGTGGGAGGAATCTCTGTTGGACTACCACTCCATTGGTCTCCAGTCACCGGCCACGTTAAATGGGGTTGATGGGAGCTGGGAATGCAACAATGTCAGGAAGGATGCAGGTTCCTTAGTGGTGCAACAGAGAAATCTAAGTAGGGGCCTTTAGGTAGCAGCAGTGCTTTTTTTCTAAACAAAAATGTTTAGGGGTGCTCTCATTTTGACTCAATAAAATCACCATTTTGTAGTTCAAATTGAGCAAAATAAACACAGTAAATGGACAAAAGTACAAAGATTCACAAAACATTTAAGGGTATACGTACCCCTGCATACCCCCAGAAAAAAAGCACTGGTTGGAAGTATGTCTTCCACTCTATTTGAGGTTACCTTTGAAGGTGACTCAGAAACTACGGCTAATTCAGAATGCGGCTGCATGGGAGTAGCCGCCGGGACCATATAACACCGGTCTTGAGAGATCTGCATTGGCTCCCAGTACATTTCTGAACAGAATTCAACGTGTTGGTTCTGACCTTTAAAGCCCTAAACGGCCTTGGTCCTGTATACCTGAAGGAGTGTCTCCACTCCCAGCATTCAGCCTGGGCACTGAGGTCCATCTTCGAGGGCCTCCTACCCATGATAACTGAGATCAGGTGTCCCAGTTCATCCCCTCCCCTGTGGAGCCTGTCCCAGCCATTCTGTTGGCTGTGGCTCACTCCCAGGGAGCCCTGATCCTCTCCCCTTCAGAACAGAATGCAAACTATACAATAAACCAATAAAACAGTAGAAACTAATTTTTTTAAAAACCAATTTACAATGATACTAAAATTAAACTAATCCCCACCCCCAACAGAGCAAAAACAAAACAAAAAAACAAAATTTAAAAAGCCACAGATTAAAAACTATTTTAAAAACATTTAAAGCATTTTCAACATTTGCCCCAACCCCAGAGTTTGTTCCAGTGAGTCTGGGCTCTTCAGGACTCACAGCAGGGCAATGTCCCTCTGGTCTCCCAGGAGTCTAAAGCAGAGCAGGGCGAGTCTGGGCCCCGCTCCCTAGGCCAGGCGGAAAAAGGCCTTGCAAGAAGCAGCCAAACAGACAGATAAACAGGGAAAGGTTCCTCTATTGTCTCCACTTTCAATTAACGATTTTGTGTTGGTATATGAAGCCCTGATGTTTTGTGAGTGGGAATCTATAAATACTTTAATAAATAAACAAAGTGCGTGGTACAAGCCCTATAACCGGAAGCGTCTATTGTGGAATATGCTAACTCTGTGGCCTCCTCTTTCTCAGGTGAGGAGAGCAGCATGGCTGACGAGCTGTATGACAAGGTGCGGATCCTGTGCTGGGTGATGACAGGCCCCAGTAACTTGGAGACGAAGGCTCGCCACGTCAAGGCCACCTGGTCGCGCCACTGCAACGTGGTCCTCTTCATGAGCTCCGTGCAAGATGACAACTTCCCCACTGTCGGGCTGGGGACCAAGGAAGGCCGGGACCAGCTCTACTGGAAAACCATCCGGGCTTTCCAGTACGTGCATCAGCACCACTTGGAGCAGGCGGACTGGTTCCTCAAGGCCGACGACGACACCTTTGTGGTGGTGGACAACCTCCGGTGGCTGCTCTCCAACTACACCGCCGACAGGCCCATCTACTTTGGCAAGCGCTTCCGGCCCTTCGCCAAGCAAGGCTACATGAGCGGGGGAGCCGGCTACGTCCTCAGCAAAGAGGCCCTGCGGCGCTTTGTGGCTGGTTTTGAATCCAAGGTGTGCAGCCACACGACTTCAGTGGAGGACCTTGCCCTGGGCCAGTGCATGGAGAAGATGGGTGTGGAGGCTGGGGACTCGCGGGACACAGAGGGGAGAGAGACCTTCCATCCTTTCGTGCCGGAATCTCACCTGACGGAGAAGTTCTCAAAAAGCTTCTGGTACTGGAACTACTGCTATTACCCCATTGTGGAGGTAGGTGGCCGTATCCTGTTTTGGGAAGGGGCAGGGAAGGTGGAGTAGCTCTCCGGGGTTTCGGAAAGGAGAGATGCTGGGGTTGAACCTGGGACCAATCCCTGTGCTCTGGGGCAGCGTATCAGGAAGGAAATCCTCACAGCCCTGTCTCACAGTGCTGAACTATCAGGAGCTGGAGTCAAGGAGTAGGTCAGCAGTCAGAGAAAAACACAGTGCTGTGCTGTCTAGGACTGATGAGAGTTGAACTTAGACCTCCAAACAGGCAGCAGTGTTCATGGATGAGAGTTTATGTACCTGAAAACAGCCTGAGCTCCTATTCATGTTAGCTCTGAGTTAAGTCCCGTCCAACTTCAATGGGTTTTACCCCCAGGTAAGTGTGTGTATAGGGACGCGGGTGGCGCTGTGGGTTAAACCACAGAGCCTAGGACTTGCCGATCAGAAGGTCGGCGGTTCGAATCCCCGCGACGGGGTGAGCTCCCGTTGCTTGGTCCCTGCTCCTGCCAACCTAGCAGTTTGAAAGCACGTCAAAGTGCAAGTAGATAAATAGGTACCACTCCAGCGGGAAGGTAAACGGCGTTTCCGTGTGCTGCTCTGGTTCACCAGAAGCGGCTTAGTCATGCTGGCCACATGATCCGGAAGCTGTACGCCGGCTCCCTCGGCCAGTAAAGTGAGATGAGCGCCACAACCCCAGAGTCGGCCACGACTGGACCTAATGGTCAAGGGTCCCTTTACCTTTTTATAATAATAATAATAATTATTATTATATATTATTATATATATAATATAATTTATTATTTATACCCCGCCCATCTGGCTGGGCCTCCCCAGCCACTCTGGGCGGCTTCCATAAAAACCACAAATACAGTAAAATATCACACGTTAAAAACTTCCCTGAACAGGGCTGCCTTAAGATGTCTTCTGAATGTCAGGTAGTTGTTTATCGCTTTGACATCTGCTGGAAGGGCGTTCCACAGGGCGGGCGCCACTACCGAGAAGGCCCTCTGCCTAGTTCCCTGTAGCTTTGCTTCTCGCAATGAGGGAACAGCCAGAAGGCCCTCGGCGCTGGACCTCAGCATCCGGGCAGAATGATGGGGGTGGAGACGCTCCTTCAGGTATACTGGACCGAGGCCGTTTAGGGCTTTAAAGGTCAGCACCAACACTTTGAATTGTGCTCGGAAACGTACTGGGAGCCAATGTAGGTCCTTCAAGACCGGTGTTATATGGTCTCGGCGGCCGCCCCCAGTCACCAGTCTAGCTGCCGCATTCTGGATTAGTTGTAGTTTCCGAGTCACCTTCCAAGGTAGCCCCTTGTGTGTGTATGGCAATAGGCCAAAGTGAGCTATAATCAAGGCCCAGCCTGCTCCTTCACGCATTGCAGCTGTCAGAACTGATAACGTTTTAATAGGGCAATATTTGCTGCTCTCACCTACTCCTGGTATTTATTTAACCAGAACAACAAACATCCTCTTTGCTACATCAGTGCAGGACTTGCATTCAATCCTGGTGCCTGTTGTCGTTGGTGGGGCATGGTAGTTCCTGGCAGGCAGCTGGCCTTACGTTTCCCAAATCAGAAGTCTCCTCTGATAAATCCTGTGCATGCCATAGCTAGGAGAAGCACCTTCAACAGTAGGGACAGGGGTGAGACTTTGCTCTTTGGTTAGGGAGCGTGTCTTTGCCTTTCGGTGGTGAAAGATTCCGGAGGTACGATCCCAGATTCATGTGGTTTTCTAACAGAGGCAAGAGGTCTGTGTGCTCCAGCCATTCCCAAAGCGTTTCCCTCCAGCTGTCAGTGATGTGTGGATTTTACCCAGTGAGTGATGCTCAAACCTGGTTTCATTCCTTTCCTAAGGCGTGTTTTTCCACCCTGATCTTTCAGCAGTTGGAAGTTTCTCTGTGACGGCAGCAATTTGTGGCACCCTTGTGGATAAGGTGATAGAGTTAATAGCATTAGGCACTTTGCCCTGCTTTATGCAGGCGGATGTAGCAAGGGAAGGAGCAAAGAGGGTCTCCCCATCCCACCTTTGGTTTTCCTTTTTTTTTTAAATCTGAGTGGCATATATGAGGGGAGGCTCACAGGTACTTAGTCAGAAAAGGGGAATGTTCGGAATACGGAAGGTAAAGTTGCCCGAAATATGAGTGGCCTGAGAACTGAGAAGACCGAGGCGATTAAGTAATTAGGTTAACTTGTGTTTAGCTGTGAGATGCATGAAAGAGAGCCAACAGGATTGCTCTGCTTCAGGGAGACCTTTTTTTGCCTAGTGTGAATCTGGGCTGTTTGTTCTCTGGAAACTTCATTTATACTGGAAACCAGCACTGCTTCTTCACCAGTGGTGCTGGGGTAGGCACGTTGCCCTCAGAGATGCTACCCTATGGCTTCTGCTACCTGAGGTAGCTACCTCAGCCCACCTCATGGCAGACCAGCCCCAATACCAGGGATAAGGAACTGGATCTGACGAGTGGGCAGGGTCCTTATCTCCTGTGGCCCACTGTGGGCCAAGTTTTACGGGTGGGTGTGGCCACTCACCTGCCAGTCACCTGACATCATTCTGTTTTTCTAGCCCAGGCTTCCTCAACCTCGGCCCTCCAGATGTTTGAAACTACAATTCCCATCATCCTTGACCACTGGTCCTGCTAGCTAGGGATCATGGGAGTTGTAGGCCAAAAACATCTGGAGAGCTGAGGTTGAGGAAGCCTGTTCTAGCCTGTCTTTCACAATCTTCCATTTTTTATAGCCCAAATGGAAGGGGCGTGAAGTGGTTGCTCTGCTGAAACTAAGCAGACCTAGGACTGGCCAATAGCTGAATGGGAGAACACGTGGAACCTTGAGCTCCATCATGGAAGAAAGTTGGAAGGACATAAATGCAACCCAGATATTGGTGGACTACAACTCCTGTGGCGTTTGCCTCCTAGGATGGGTCATAAGGAAAGGGTTAAAATAGGTGTGATGTGATTGGCCAGTGAGAATGCAAGGGGGAATAAAAGTTAGAGTGGGAGGTTTTGAAAGTCAGTTGAGGTCTGGGAGTTGAGGGTTGAGGTTTGGGAGTTGAAAGGAAGAGGGAGGTTTAGGTGTGGGTTGGTAGAGTTGTATTGTGAGAGAGTGAGAGGAATTGTTAGGTGGAGTCAGATAGATAGTTGGAATAATCAGTTTGGAGTTGTTAGGAACTAAGAATAAGAAACTGACAAGAGAAAAATTAACTGAAACCATAAGCTTGTTCCTGCATTTAAAAATAAACTTGCTTATTTGTTTATGTTAACAACCGACTGGACTCGTGTGTCCCCGTGAGATACGGGGTGGTGGCAGCGGAAAAAGCAATCGCAGTGGCGGCACAGGGTCAATAGACCGTCAAACGTCCGGGGGCCCTGTGTGTGATCGCCACAACTCCCATCATCCCCAGACAGCATGGTCAGTGGTCAGGGAAGATGAGAGTTGCAGTCTAACAGCATCTGGAGGGCCACAGCTTCCCCAATCCTGATTTAATAAATGAATTAATTTTTTTTAATTCCCGAGTCCATTGCCAAACACACCCAGATTCTTTGGAGAGTTGCTGTCCGGTGCAGAATACCTTCTGCAAAATAAGCAAGTACCGTATTTTTCGCTCTATAGGACGCACTTTTCCCCCTCCAAAAATTGAGGGGAAATGTGTGTGCGTCCTATGGAGCGAATGCAGGCTCCTTGGCTTCAGCCATAGCAACGCTAAGCCTCCGAAGGGCAGAGGGAGCACTCCCTCCGTGCTCCAAAGGCTTCGCATTGCTTTCGCTGAAGCCTGGAGAGCGAGAGGTGTCGGTGCGCACCAACCCCTCTCACTCTCCAGGCTTCAGGGATAGCCGTGCACAGCCCCTCCAGCAGGGAGAGGCTGCACATGGCTATGGCTTCTTTAGCCCCGCACAGCCTCTCCCGGCAAGGAGAGGTTGCGCGGGGCTAAAGAGGAAGCCCAAACAGCCAGCGGGATCCATCCTGCTGGCTGCCTTGGCTTGTGCCATAGCCGCGCGCAACCCCTCCGGCAGGGAGAGGTTGCGCGCAGCCTGTACGCTGCTCTTAGGGGCTGGGGGGGGAATAAGATTTTCCCCCCCTTGATTCCCCCCCCTAAAAACTAGGTGCGCCCTATGGTCCGGTGCGCCCTATGGAGCGCAAAATACGGTATGTACTTATTTATTTGAATAATTAGTTCAGCTTGCTAAATGTTGCAGAATCACAATTTTTACTTCTTTCTTGATTATACAGAGTGCACACCCAGCCCTATTCTCATTGGATCGCCGGGGGTCGTGGATGATGGACTCAAATTCCCATTACCCCTGACGGTTGACCATGTTGGCTAAGGGTGATGGGAGCTGGAGCCCCACAGAATCTAGAGGGCCTCAGCTTCTCCATTCCTGACTTAGAGAATGCCTGGCATTTCTGATAAGCATGCATTTCTGCATGTGGGGTTTTTATAAAGGAATGATTGGCACTGAGCTTTGCGTTGCCTGACCCTTTTAGGAGGCCATTTACCAGTTCCACCCACCCCCAACCTCATGTTTCCTGAAGCTTCTTATGCCCCTTTTCCTTAATCCAACTAAGGCTATTGCTTTAGTCTGTAATGGGATGAAGGTTTCCTGCGACATACATAGATGGTAGGAGTGGACAGCAAAACAAAAGGCTATGTCTGCTGAGATGGATGTAAGGGAAAGAGGAAGGAGCAGGCCATTGGAACACTAGACCTGTCTCAGCAGCAGGACTCTTGTCACCCCATGTCCTCGACCACACCTGACCTGCAAACCAGCCTGTGTGCTCTACCAACACGTGGGATGAACTTGGAGTCCTGATTCAGCACAGGGGGATTAGCCCTTTACCCATTGTGTAATCGGTCCTCAGATAACAAAACTGCAGCTTAGAATCAAGGATGCATAGTTTGATCACAAAACCGGATTCTTGATCAACGTGCAGGTTGTTCCAGAGTTATTGCAGGAAGGATGAACTGGGCAAGCAGCAATCAGATTGGCAGCTTTGTTACATCTGTGGCTGTGTCACAAACCAATATTGTAGGCTGCCCTGATGGATAGGTAAGCAGGCAGGGTCCTCCATTGCACCACAAGTTTTCTGGTGAGAGCATCCTCAGATTTGTCTGTGGCTTCTGCCGTTCTCTGTGGTTGTCACTTCTGCTTCTTGTGGCATATGGGAAAAAAGGGATGTGGGTGGCGCTGTGGTCTAAACCACTGAGCCTCTTGGACTTGGTGATCAGAAGGTCGGCGGTTTGAATCCCCACAATGGGTGAGCTCACGTTGTCTGCCCCAGCTTCTACCAACCTAGCAGTTCGAAAGCACGCCAGTGCAAGTAGATAAATAGGTACCGCTGTGGCTGGAAGGTGAATGGCATTTTTGTGTGCTCTGGCTTCCGTTCTGTTGTGCGAGAAGTGGTTTAGTCCTGCTGGCCACCTGACCTGGAAAGCTGCCTGTGGACAAATGCCGGCTACCTCAGCCTGAAAGCGAGATGAGCGCCACAACCCTATAGTTGACTTTGACTGGACTTAACCATCCAGGGGTCCTTTAAAGGTAAAGGGACCCCTGACCATTAGGTCCAGTCGTGACCGACTCTGGGGTTGCGGCGCTCATCTCGCTTTATTAGCCAGCGTACAGCTTCCGGGTCATGTGGCCAGCATGACTAAGCCTCTTCTGGCGAAGCAGAACAGCGCATGAAAACGCCGTTTACCTTCCCGCTGGAGCGGTACCTATTTATCTACTTGCACTTTGACGTGCTTTCGAACTGCTAGGTTGGCAGGAGCAGGGACCGAGCAACGGGAGCTCACCCCGTCATGGGGATTCGAACCACCAACCTTCTGATCGGCAAGCCCTAGGCTCTGTGGTTTAACCCACAGCGCCACCCGTGTCCCTTTTCCAGGGGTCCTTTACCTTTGCCTTTATGGAAAAAGGACAGCTGTTCAGCTAGCGAAGCAACAGTGAAGGGGATGGCTTTCCTCGCATGCTGCGTGGTCCACAGTTAACCCTGGTTTCCCTTTGCTCCTCCTAGGGTCCCCAGTGCTGCTCCGACTTGGCCGTCTCCTTTCACTACGTGAGTTCAGAGTTGATGTACACCTTGGAATACCTGTGCTACCACCTTCGCGCTTACGGCTACAGGTATCGCTACCACCCGCCTTTGCCTGAGAATGCTGCTCATCTCCAGCCCCGCCCTCGGGGGGAAGCCCCGGAGAGGACCAATAGTACTACACTGCAGACTGAGAAGAAGGTGTAGGGGCGGATCCCTGGCACGTGACCCTTGAGCAGAGCGGCCCAGCCCAGCCATCCTTGGACAAGACCAGTGCCCCTGTTATGGGGCCATCTACACAGGAAAAAGCCACAAGAGCTGAGCAGGAGACAAGCCGAGAGATTTCTTTTGATCCCTAAAGGTGTGTGTGCACGCACACTTGCCACACAAGGGGTCTTGCACATGGCAGAGGAGCCATTTTTATTTGTGTGCTGAGAAGCAAATGTCTGGCCTACTATGGCACTGCTTGGCCTATCCTATGCTCGCTCGTTTTCCTACTGCAAACTGGAGAGGCCCAAGCCTTCCATGCGCTGTAAAGCAGTTTCTTGCTTAGTAAGTGCTCTTGATGCACTGGGGTGGGGAGACTGGTCCCTGGGTGGTGGGGAAGAAGAGGGGATAGAGGGGCTCTTGTGGGTCCTGGAAGGGAGAGCCGAACTCACAAGGGGGTGGTGCCTGCCGCCATCACAAGAATGAGGCACAACTGCATGGCCATAGACTGAGCAAGGAGAGCACCACAGCGTAGGGCTTGGGTTTTACCACTGGAGAAAGAATAGTAAGGGTCCTGGCTGGTCAGTGGTTGGTGCCATTGTGGTAAGAGGGACCCAGCACTACAAGAGGGGGACGCACGGTCCGTTTGCACCCTTGCAAGCTGTGTTCGGGGCCTCGCAGTTGATATTATAGGATGAAGTGCTTGTATCTCCTGTGCCTGCAATTTCCCCCCATTATTAGGTTTCTTGATACCAGAGCCTAATAATTAAGCCATCTGCCTTTAACGTCAACACGTTCCAAGTCGGGGTTCTTCACTCTTGGGTCCCCAGATGTTGTTGGACCACGAGTCCCATCAGTCCCAGCCAACATAGCCTTGTTGTTCAAGGGAAAGAGAAGGAGAGAATAGGAAGAACAGAGAGCTGGCAGGTAAGCAATTAAAAAAGGTAGGGGAATGTTTTTTTTTTAAAGTGGCAGTTTGTGGCTTAAGGCAGGTCCCAAATCCGGAAAGGCTAAAGACCTGGGAGCCTGCAGTTGTTTCTCAACTGCACATTCCATCATCCTCGACCATTGGCCGTGCTGGCTGGGGCAGATGGGAGTTGTAGTTCCGCAGCATCTGGAAGGCAACAGCTTCACCACTCCTTGTATGAGACACCCTAACTGTGCATGGTCCTCAACATTCACATGAATAAAGATGCTGCTGTATTATGGCCATCTCTGAGTCAAAAAGTGATGTTTTGTGCCAGAACCAATAGGTTTGGGGCAGGGCTTGCCCGCCCATGAGTTGGACTGAGGCAGTTGTATCAGGTGGAAAAATCATGGCAGGACTGCCCCCTGCTGGCACTGCTGGAGAAGCAAGGAGAACGCTGCAGCTTCTGGTGAGATATTGTAGAGCTCACAAGATATCACTGCTGCTTCTCCGGGGGGTGGGGGGTGGGGAGATGCACCTGTCCCCTTCCACTCACTGGAGAAGCAAGGAGAAGTGGCCTCAGCTTCTGAGTTCTGGTGAGATCTCATGGACTTCTCACGAGATCTTGCCAGAAGCTGCAGCCGCGCAACCTCAGTAAACAAGACTTTGGTGGAGGGATATCAGCCGTGAGGTGGGTGGCACCTTCCCATTTTGCCTCTGTATGGGTTGGTGGGTGAAACAGGACAGGACAGCCCTGGTTTGCAGGCAGAAGAACAAGCAAAAGTCAGGCAGTGTGAGAAAGCCTGAAAGCGTTATTGCTCCTTGCTGTGTCACTAGATTTGAGCGTTCTTGTGTTTTTTGCCTGGTGGGTTAGTCTCTTAATCATTTGATGGTCCCAAGTGCCCCCGGTGGCTATTACATGCCATTTTATGGTTACGGTAAGACTTTTTACTGAACCAATCTACCGTATTTTTCGCTCTATAAGATGCACCAGACCACAAGACGCACCTAGTTTTTGGAGGAGGAAAACAAGAAAAAAAATATTCTGAATCTCAGAAGCCAGAACAGCAAGAGGGATCACTGTGCAGTGAAAGCAGCAATCCCTCTTGCTGTTCTGGCTTCTGGGATAGCTGCGCAGCCTGCATTCGCTCCATAAGACGCACACACACTTCCCCTTACTTTTTAGGAGGGAAAAAGTGAGTCTTATAGAGCAAAAAATACGGTAATTTGTTGAAGATGCAGGCAGACCTTTGAATTGTTCAGAGCTCTTTGCCAGATGGAATGGAAAGGCAGATGCATTTTCAGCTTATAAGGAGAGAAAAGATAGGCCCAATTTAATAACCGAAAGTACAGCCTTTGTTTTGATCAAGAGTTAAAGCCGAAGCACTTGTGCAGTTCACAACGATCTGCCTCCATAAAACAGCAGAGATGGGTGAAAGAAATAGCTAAGCATCCTTTTTGTGGTCTGTTGCAAAAGCTTGGAGTAGAGGTAGCCCTGCAGATGTTGTTTGCCTTTATCTCAGATCATCCCCAGCCAGCATGGCCAGTGGTCAAGGATAATGGGACTTCCAGCATCTGGAAGGCAGCACGTTGGGGATTCGATGGTTACTGAATCCTGAACCTTAAGGGGTGAGCAGTTGCCAAGACATACTGGGCTCACTTGCTGATAAGAATTTTGCTGGCATGTTTGTTGACATCTGACTGTCCTCCTTCCAAACGTTTTGTTTTGCTTGCTTTTTGTCCAGAAGTGGGCAACAAAGATGAGGAGCACAGCAGGAGACCAATTCCATGGTGGAAAGATTGAAGGAGTTAGTTGTGGTTTAATCTGGGGATGGGATGGTTAAGAGTCACATCCATCTTCACATATTTGAAGGGCTGTTGCATGGAGTCTGCCAATGGCATGAATGATTCTGTTGCTCCAGAGGCTATTACCCAAACCATCGGGTTGGTATTACAAGGACTTGGGCTAAAAATTAGGTCTTTCCCAACCGTCTGAGCTGTAAAAACAGCTGGCTTCCTAAAAAAGACAACTGAGAAGGATTTATGCTCTGAGTCTGACCTTCTGGGGAACCTCTGCTAACACTAGCTTGGAATTAGCACTGCCTGTGAGCCTGTTGCTTTCCTCCCATACCTGCACATTTCCCAAGGATTTTACGAAATCATAAGCCAACAACATCTTCTCTTTCAAATGAACAGGTTGGTGGACTCTCTCCTTCATTAGGGTTCTTCCCCCCCCCCCTTTCCCTTTTGATATTTCATAATACTGTTGGGTTCGATCTAGAGAAGAGTAAGTTGAAATTTATGGCAGTATTTCAGATAGTCCTCCTGATTGTCTTTTTAAAAAGAAATTAGAAGGAGCTGCCAGTTACCTATTCATATTGCTGGTGCACATCGAGTCTGACTGATGAGTTCTCCAGTATCACAGTCAAAGGCCCTTAGATGCTTTTAAAGCAGAGTTGCCAGGGACCCAAAAGGTATTTCTCTGGACTGCCCATTTATTAACCTGCTGCCTTCCATGGTACCCTTTGCCATTCACTTCAGTTGAGGGATTGTTCCACTGATATGTACTTCTCCTTGTGCCTGCACAGCTGTTACTGCCATTGAAGTGAATGGTGACTTATTCACACGCAGTTGTGTAACAGTGTCCTAAACTGGAATGTTCTCTTATTCCATAAATTATGATATTTTTTAGAAGAAAGACTTTGGGAGCTACGAAATGGTAAGAACTGGTGATAACTGGCAGAATGCTTCCTGTTGCCAATTTCGTTGTTTTTCTTCGTAAAAGAATGTTTAGATATTTACTGAAAATAATTTTGTTAAAATCTTTGGATCTGGGGGAGGTAGGTAGTTTTCACAAGAGACATGTTTGAAGTTTTTCATTCACTTTACAAATAAACCAAATTGCAAGGACAGTTCATTCTGTGATTCTGCTGATCTCTGAAGGAAATTGCTTAGCCAAGGTTGAAGATTGTGAGTTTTCAAAAACAGGTCGTGGGAGAATGCATTGTTTAAAGTTGAAAACCACAAAGGTTTTAAAATTTTTCTTTCAGAAAACTTGCACCATCACTCGGAAGCCTTATGCCATAGCTCAGTGTAGATTCAAGATGGGGAGTCTGTGGCCTTCTGCCTATTTTAGTCTCAAACTCCCACCAGTCCTTGCCAGCATGACCAATGGTCAGAGATGAGTGTTATAGTCTCTGCTGGGGTGGGCTCAGTTGCTCACCACCCAGAGTATATACAATACTTGGCTACCTCAGTATAAGGCAGCTTTTTATCTACATACGTGCCCTCTTTAAGGAAAAGCCCACCTTTTCCTGGTTATCTTGAAATATTGTGGCCTTTGATGTTACTGGTTTAATTGTAAGCTGCTGTGATCTTAGGCAAAGGAAAAGCTGTGTTTTAGGCTCATGCATAGTTACTTGTCTGGTTGGTTGCGACAAGTAAAAAATCATTTCTGGGTGACCAAGCAAGAGACTTTTAGAAAAGTTGGCTTGGTGTTTTCGGTTTCACTTTAAGTTAATAATGCTTTCTAACATAGTTTTGTGTGGCTACAAAGCCTCCCCCCCCCAATACCTGTCCCCTGATCATGAGGTTGCAGGGCAGGTTATAAAAACTTTTTTAAAAAATACAATCTTGGAAAACAAATCAGTGAACAAAATGTGGCTGTCAACCCTGGGGATTTACAACTCAAAACTTGCAAGCCTGCTAAGGGTTATAGTCAACCTAGTAGCTCTCTGTGCGAAGGGACCTGCTTCTGCTTGCACAACAGGAAGGACTCCCCCTCCCTTCCTCCTGTGCACCCCATAAATCTCTTCTGGGGGGTTCAGCCAACCATCTGGGGCAGATTGGTGATCGCAGAAGAGACAACGGAGTGGTGGCAATGGGGAGAAAGACCAATTGCACAAAAGGAAGTAGTTCCACTCGTGCAGTTACTTATTTGTATACTCTGTCCTGATAAATATTTGCTGCCCTGGGCTCCTTCAAGAAGAAGGGTGGAAAATTAGCCGAGTTAATAATAATGTACTGCACTGCTGTCCTATACATCTGCTAGGAAGTAAGCCCATTTTTAATTCAATAGGCCTTACTCCTAAGTAAGCATGTATACTAGGATTGCAGCCTTAAATGAAGCTAGGGCACAATCCATTCAAAGTAAAGGACTTGTATGTATGAAGGGGATTTTGTGTCTGAACTTAAATATCTCTCACTGAAATCAACAGAAGTTAAGAGTGCTTCAATCTTTAAATGTGGAGAAATGAATATTACCATTGACAGATTGAAGGAAAGCTGCCGCCAATGTTACTGTGCTCTTACCTCTTTGTAAGGTAAGAAGAATTATCTTGATTCAAAAACACAAAGACTAAAATCCCCTTCCCTCCTTTTAAAAGAAATTCAGGTCTTTTCTGCTTTTCTTGGAAATGTTTCTCCAGGGAAGATAAACATTGTTTAATAAAGATTACCTCTTAGGGTGAAAATTAATACACATGGAACAACTTCAACAAAGATGTCTTTATTTGGAATAGGAAAAGCATTCTACCTTGAGTGCAAGGGTGGGGGGAGCAGAAATTAAAGAAAGCAACTGGTATTGATGTGGGTGATCAGGATAGATTATGGGGTGTGATGTTGTGGGCCTGACTGTGTTTTAGTCATTTTACATTCCTTAGTTTTTAAAGGAGAACAACAACCTGCTCTTCTTTTTACCTTGCACTTCAGAAACTCTCTCCTTTCTCTTGATTTACTAACTCTGAAAGTAGACAAATCGAAGCAGGAGAGGTGGTGAGAGAGAGAATGTAAAAGTGGGACCAACTTTACAAAAAGGTTGTAACTGCCATGTCGGTCCCAGAAATATAAAATAGGTAAGAAGCTATCTTTTATTAGGCCAACAGAGCTCTGTGTAACTCAAAAGGGTACATATGCTTACAATCAGCCAAAGTTGGCTAACAAAAGATAGTTTTGTCTACTCTCAAAAAGAAGAGGAATTGGTAAAGGAGCGTTCTGCCATCAGCCAAGTCTCACTTATGCAAGGGAGTAGCAGTATGTTAACCTGGTGTCTGAGAGCTGTAGTTCAGAAAGGCACCAGGTTGTTGAAGGGGGTCTTTAAGCACCACGTGTTTCTGTGGGAAGGGGTGGTAGTCCCCGAACTTGCACCTCATCTCTTTTGTGGCTGGCGGTGAGATCATACTGACAAATGTTTCCTTAAGTGTGAGGTAGCTTAAAAACCAGGGACGTTTGAGAGTTGACCCTATGACTTCCTTCATTTTGTAAAGAGAGAGTAGATGAGGCTTGGTAGAATTCAGAACGGTGGACA